GCTCCCTGCCGGTGGACTATCTTCCCAAATGCGCTGGAAGGTCCTAAGCAGGGCAGTGACCTGATACGCTGTATAGCAGATAAAAATGAAGAGGAAGTAGGGGCAAGCAGGTGGCGTGGAGGTTAAGGTGCTGAATCCCACATGGCCAGCCTCCTGGTTTGAGTCCCAGACCAGGGGGCTTAATCACGCTGGGCATGTGTACATACATCCATGCTCCAAATCCCAAGAGGATAGTGGAGGAGAAGGGATTGTGGCATGGCCATCCCTCCTCACTTTCCCTCTCTCTCTGTCTCTGGTGAGCACACATGCCCTAGAGAAAAAGCTAAAAACAACAACATAAAAGGAGAGGCAGTAGATGGAGACAAGAGGGAAGCCATCCCAGCAAGGTGAGGCCTCAACCAGGGGTGCACAGAGGGAGTGCAGAGGCATGTTTTATAGATCGAGTCAGGACTCGATCACTGAGTGAACCTGGGGTGGGTGACAGAGAGGAAAGGAGCTGACCATGATGCACAGGCCTTGGACCAGACTCTGACTGCTTTGACTGTGCGGGTGTCACGGGCACAGTAGGGGGCCATGCTCTTCATCCTCAGGGTCCTGCACAGTCTCACTGGGCGTTGGTGCCTACAGCCTCCACTTTGGGTTCTGCCAGCTCTGTCTCACTGTCTGCTCTCCCTTAGTGCTGCCACCCTAGGAGAGCCAGACTGACCAGGGGCTGTCCTGCACGCCAGGGAGCTGGGGCATGTGAGCGCTCCCAGGAAGATGGTCTAGGCACATGTTTAATCATGATTTTTGGCCTGAAAAATGCCTTAGAGATGATCTTGTCTTTAGTGAGCAAAGATCAGAGAGGAGGGATGAGCCTACATTCCTACAGAAAGTTCATAGTCATGGCCCGAATCTTCCCACTCCTGTCCTGCCCTTGCACTCGCTAGATCCTCTGTTCACATGGAAGAGTCTGGAGGTGCAAAAGTAGTAAAAGATATGGCCCTTTCTCTTAGGAGTTTCTGGTTTAATTGTGGGACAAGAAGAAATAGAAAGCCAGTAGGAAGCAGCCTGAAGGTCCAGTAGATGATGTACAGGGAGGAGCTTTCAGAACTGGGAGTTGAGCCTTTCTGGAAAAGGCAAGAGCTCTAGAAAGTGAGAGAGAATGGGGAAAAGCTCAAGACAGCAGAGGGAATTACGAGGTGCAGAGGTGGGAATCGGGGCCCTCTCCCAGGTACTTAGTTCAATCCCTGGGTCTTCAGGGGACTTAGGTCCTCTGTGGGTTCCTGTGGCTTTGTACATAGTGCAAGGTGACAGAGTAACTTCGAGGGACTGGGAGGTGTTTCCTAAGACACGTCCCACCCCAGCTCCTCTCCCCACAGGAACATTCCCAGTTTCCTGGAAAGGAATGTCCATCTAAGGCCTGATGGATAGGACTGCTGTCCCTTGGTCTTTTCTCTCATGGGATAGACCCCCTGGGGAGCCCCCAGCTACAGGACCTGGCTTGGGGTTTGGCAAGCTCAGTACTTTGCCCCTAGAGGTCCCAGAGGTTTGCCCTCAAGGAAATACCAGCGTTCCTGCCCCGAGCATGGACTATCTTAACGGGTAGTAGCCTGTGCAGAAGGCAGAAAGCCTGGTTCCTGCCAGGCAGAGCCACCCAGCCAAACCGAGGAGCCCAGGGAAGGCCAGAGGCCACAGCCCAGCTCCTGGACCACCCTCTTCCTCAGCCAAGCCTGCTCTTTGGGTGTCCTTGTCTCCCACATGCAGACTTTAGCCCGTTGTCAGTGAAGAGCCTGTGGCTGGCCTTTCTTTGAGTACTCTGGTAACCAAGGGGTTAAATCTTTCACTAAGCTTCAGCACCAGGCCTGGTCCCAGGGAACCTGGAAGGGTAGGAGACAGAGGGCCAGCCAAGGAAGGGGCACTCCCAGGTAGAAAAAGGAACTCAGAGGGGAATGGGATGTGAGGACCAGTCTAGCCTGACCAGGACAGAAACCGAAGGGTTAACAAAAGCTCAGTGCTGATAAAATGCCCCAAATTCCTAGTCCTGCCTCCAATGCAGAGGGCGTCTGGTAAATGTCAACGATAAAAAATACATTTTAATGGCACGTGATGCAGCCGCTACCGTAAGGCACAGCCAAACGAAGCAGGTTTGGAGCAGCAACTACCGTGTGTGTCTCTGGGGGCTCCAGTGGCCCAGCCTCCAAGCCCTTCGCTCAGCTTTGTCTAGGTGGAGTGTTCTGCCTCATGGCCCACTACATCAGGTCTCTGGGTTTGTGGGGTACCCTGTGGCCTTATTTTAGGAACTTTGCCGATCTTCTACCTTGCTATCCTGAGCTCTGGCCTTTGGTGCACTTCCCTCCAGGCCAGGATCTGCCTCTGTAGGCCTGAGGGCAGATGCTTCTGGGCCTCCCCAGCACCTCAGCAGGCCTCTCTGAATGCTGAGAACAGCACAAGTGCCTGGGCCACCTGGGCCGTGCAGTGGGAAATAAGCATGGGACATTTCCCTCAGTTTCTCCCCTCCAGCCCATCCTGCCCACCCCTGGGCTGTGAGGGCAGCCCTGAGGGCAGGCGGCTGAGCACTCCCTGTGGGCATTCCTAGGAAAGGCAGTCTCTGGGAAGAGGGGGAGAGCTCAGTTCTTCACTTGGAAACGTAAAGGTCTTTGTGGGCTCGGTCTAGTAGTCAGGCCCAGGAGCCTGGGCTTTTAGGAAAATGAACACCAGCCTGGGGTCAGCTGAATGAAGTTATGAGCAAAACAGTGGTGGGGCTGGTAGGTTGTATGGTGGTTAAGAGCACTGGACTCCCACATGGCTGACTGCAGTTCGAGCCCCAGACCTAGCGGCTTGTTTTCTCACTTTCCCCTCTCTCTCTCACTCTGTCCCTCTCTGGTCAAATTAAAATAAATTAAGTTAAATAAATAATTTAGAAATAAAGAAGAAGAACTAAACAGTGATGATGTGAAGCTCAGAAAGAGACCTTTCTCTTCCAGATCATTCTTAACTCCATGCACAAGTACCAGCCACGGCTACACATTGTTAAGGCTGATGAGAACAATGCTTTTGGCTCCAAAAACACAGCCTTCTGCACCCATGTGTTCCCAGAGACCTCCTTCATCTCTGTGACCTCCTACCAGAATCACAAGGTATAGACACAATCCCCACGGCCCCCTCCCCTTGTACCCCCCAACCCCCCCGCAACACCACCAGCATTCTGGCCACCACACCCAGG